AAGATATTTATAGATGTGTATTTATAATGTCTATATGTCATATGCAAATAAGTTGGGGAACATATACACACATACCTGTTTGGCAGAATCCATTAAAAAAAAAGAGACTAAATCCAAAAATATGTTTCTTTAACTCTCTGCTTCAAATGATCAGTTTGGCTCATTTTTTAAACTTTCCAAGTTATTTTCATATTCTAGAGATGCATCTTAATATTCATGTTTAAAACATAAATAAACTTAGAGCAATTTCTGCAACTAACATTTCAAATGCATTTTGACCTGAGTCCAGGTAGCCAGGCCTTCATCTTAACTTATCTTTGCATACAGAGAGAGGAAATTCATTTTCAAGGGAGAGGGAAGATAAGAATGAAATTTGAGCATTTTTTCATGGTTTATTTTTCAGAGATCTGACTCAGTGCTGAATTCAAGAGATGAGGAATTTTTAGTGAGCACATCATAGTCCTTGGCTTTCAATACAGTGGTTTTTTTCCCCCTCTCTTTAAATCATGCAGTGTGTATCCCTTGCAAGCTTAATAGCAAAGCACAATGAATCACCCTGGGTGAAGTCAATATGCATAGGCCTCCCTCAGTATGTAAACCTGAATGTCTTGCACATGGCCTCGAGAATACAGGAGACTTCAATGGACCACTGTTCCTGGAGGAGCTGGGGCCTGAGAAGCTTGAAAAAGCAATGGGACAGCCCTAACATGATTAAGCCACATAAAGACTCACAAATTTAGCACAAAAACAGAAATGTTGATATTGGCACCCCCGCACCCCACCCCCCAACCCTGCAAAAGAAAGATCAAGGGCCTTCTCTCCCCCTGAAATTATTAGCCAGGAGTTTGTTTTCAGATCTTGAATGGAAAGTCGCATTTGCTTTCAAAGTTTTCAAAGCTCACCACTGTGGCCTTATTGTTAGTTGAGTCAGCGGGGCTTCTGTAATCAGGGAGTGCCCTCAGATTTATTTAGCTAACATTGCTTCTTGGGAAATTTAAGGAGATGAAGTCTGACAGGAAACTGATCGTTTTTTTAAGGGGCTAATTTCTTTGAAAATTAGACACTTACTATTGTTTATTGAACTGTCTCTTTGCCTGCCTCCTCTTTCCCCATGTCCATCCTGCTTGCTAAAATATTCCAAACACTGAAGCAGTCCCCATGCAAATCAGAAATGAAATTGTAGTTAAATGTTATGCCCAGCTTGTTTCCATTTGGAGATAGTCTCTGATTGAAAATGTGCTTTGCAGTGTCATTTCAAAGATTTGGGTTCATGTTTTGCTTTGGCTGGTAAGAGCAAAGATCAGGAATTGCATATGCAATGTGGTATTTAACTTCTTCTGGTCCCCAATCTGGCAGTCATGCCTAAGCTGTTTCCCATTGCTGTTGGTGTTATTTGGGAACCAGCAATGTGAAAGACATAATTTATTGTTACTAAATAACTGCCTTATCTTATCAAGACTCCCAGCATAGGAAATGTAGGGAGAAAGCTTGGTTATATCAAAACATACTTGGCTGGAGCAAAAGAATCATAAACTGGGGGAAAGAAGAATAAGTAGTGCCTGAATTTTAATGACTTTTTGCAGCTTGTTTGCAATATACCATGGGATTGGATTTCAGGGATTTATTTTATGCTGTTCTACTTTGACCTTGGCCATGGTGGGGGGAGGGTGGTGGAGTGGGGAAGGATCCCTTCAGATTGGAAGAGTTTCAAAGTCAGGGGAGTGATCATGTCTTGGTCTGGGCTTCCAGAAAGCCCATTTGCTGCCAGGATGAAGTGGTGATGGTGATGGTAGTGTATATATGTATATATGAGGATATGTAGGCTCATGCACATTTTCATAAGGGAGGAGGAAGGGATTCCAGCCCCATGAATCCACAGAGGCTGGAGAACTCAGATAAAGTTTCAGACATAATCCAACCAGCCAAGGGATAGGTCCCTTTGTGCCAAAGAGACAGGCAGAGATTTTGAACTTTCTATCAAAGTCCTACATGTCACTAGGACTCACAGGGATAAATATCTTAGGCAAAGTCACCCTAATTTGTCCTTAATGTATCCTGATATCAAAGTAAGATTTTTATAGATCTGGCAGTATAGTTAAGGTCTTCCTTGAACCCTGTAAAACAGAAGTGTTTCATATGATTGTGGAGAGACCTTTGCAGAACATACTTGGAAAGTGATACTGATATGGAACAACCAAAAATACAAGCAATGGTCTCCGTATCTGTCAACACACTTCTGTGCTCCTGAATGATATTAACATGTGTATGTGGTGCTTCTACATTGAATTTATTTCTTTATATTCTTTATGTATTATTTATATATATAATATATAATATTTATTATTATATTCTTTATATTCTTTATTGAGTTCAAAGACTATCTCTCTCTAGATATATATTTGATACATATGCATCAAAGGCATATAGATACAATATATCTAGATACAATGTATAGATACAATACATATAGATCAAGGCATCATGTCTATCTATCTATCTATCTATCTATCTATCTATTTATCTATCTCTCTATAGACACGATGCCTTGATTGTTCTCTAAAGGCTTTTGACATGCACTCTATACGCCTTTGATACATATGATAGAGAAATGTGTGTGGAATGTTGCTATGAAGAAGGAATAGAATGCATGTTGGTCAGATTTGTTGATTGGCAGGTAGAAATACGGAGGGACAGAACTGAGATTAAGGATCTCCTAGTTCAAATTTTGTTCTTAAAACAGGGATGGTTCTAGGCAAATATGTCCCTTTCCTACTCTGTCTGCTCCTTTCCATATACTCTATGATCCAGCTATACTGGTCTGACTGTAGTTCCTTGAACAGAACACTCTCTTTCCCATCTCCATGACTTTGTACAAACTGTTTCTTATGCCTACATAAGATGCCTACATGCTTTGTACCCTCACCTCCACCTCTTGGTTTCTTTGGCTTCCTTTAAGACTCAAATCAAGTCCTATCTACTGCAGGCAGCCTTTCCTGGTCTTGCCTCCACCTCCCATAGCTAGTCCCTTTCTTTCTCAGATTACCTCCCATATAATCTTATTTATCTTATTTGTAGCTAGTCATTTACATGTTATCCTCACCCATTAGAATATAGGCTCCTTGGGGACAGGCTTTTCTTGGTATCCCCAGAAATTATATAATGCTAAGTACTTAATACATGTCTTCTTTCTTTCCATGCTCTTATGCTTTAGTGCCTTCTGCCTTTGGCCATATTCTCCCAGAGAATTTGGTCAATACCCACTCAGGATCTCTAAATGTGAAAGTCTGAAGAGACTTTGGAAGTCACGTACTTGGGCAGCAGTCTCCTAAATAATGCTATCCTCAAGTAGTCATCAAGCCTTTGTGTGAAGATATCCAGTGATGGATAGCATCTCATTCCAGTTTTGGACAGTAGCTCTTGTTAAGAGGTTTTTCTTAATAGAGAGTTGACATCTGTTCCTCTGCAACTTTCACCCATTTTTCCAAGTTTTTCCTCTGAGGCAAAGATGAATAAGTCAGTAATCCATCTTCCACATATGTTCAATAGTAGAAGACAGCCATCATCTCCTCTTTGTTTTCTCCAGGGTAAAGATTCACAATTCCTTCTTCTGTCTCTTGCATAGTACAGCCCTCAATCATCTCACATCTTAGTCACTTTCCTTTGTGTATATGCTAAGCTTGTTCATGTCCTTCTTAAAATGTGGTGCCCAGAACACAGCACTTTAGATGTATCATTGGACTGATCAGGGCAGAACCATCCCTTTCCGTGACTGTGTTAGTATTTTTTTTTTGTCTGATAGGTCACAATACTCACACTATTGTGTCATCATGTGAGAGCATTATATGACTTTATAGTTGGGGAGGATCTTAAAGACAATCATGGTCCATGATGACAGGTTGAATCTGTGTTTTGGCTAGTTACCTTCTTCCATTGCTAGAGATTGCAATGCTGTCTTTAGCCATCTCTAAAGATGCATGATAAGAAGAGTACAATATAACATGCTTCCAGGAGCCTTGTCATCAGAAGCCTGCTTGTTCAGCTGTGGTTGGGATTATTCATTGAAATTCATTTACTGCTGGAGGTAGAACGAATTTGAGAGATCATCTGCTGCTTGGTGATGACAACTCGGTTTCCTAGAACACTCATCTGAACTTGTCTTTTATAGTTACTACTCCCACAGCCATATCACTGGCATTCTCCCTTTACCACATTTAAATTGTCTTCTGTCTTCCAATCTGAGATTGTTTATATAAGAAACTAAAATCTCTCCTAATGGGATAGAGTTGGAGGAGGACCTCCAAGACCCTTGCTCTTGCCTCAAGTAGCCAGTACATTTAATTTCTTTTTTTTTTTGCTTTTTTTTTTTTTGCTTTTAGGCAATTGGGGTTAAGTGATTTGCCCAGGGTCACACAGCTAGGAAATGTCAAGTGTTTGGTCTGAGGCCGGATTTGAACTCAGTTCATCCTGACTTCAGGGTCAGTGCTCTATCCACTGCGCCACCTAGCTGCCCCCAGTACATTTAATTTCTAAAAAAACTTTTATTGATTTCTTTTACTTTATACATAACCCTAATTTCTGACTATTACCACCCACTTCTTCCCAACTAGCCATTTCTTGAGACAATGAATGTAAATACATAAGAAAAGAAAATTAGTCCCCACTTCAACTGAGTCTAAGCTATCTATGATATTTTATATTTATATTTATGATCTTTTATATTCATGTCTTACAGTAACCTCCTACCTCCACAAAGAAGAGATATAAGTGCATTTTCATACCTTTTCTTTGGGGCCAAGCTTGACAATCATAATTATACAGCAATTTAGTTTCTCTCTCTCTCTTTCTCTGTCATACCTGGGCAAATCACTTAACCTCTTTCTGCCTCAGGATTCTCAACTGTAAAATGAGAATAATAAAAGCTCCTACCTTCCAGGATTGTTGTGAGGGTCAAATGAGGGGTTTTTTTTGGGGGGGGGAAAGGGAAGAAGAGAGGCTGCAGGATACATTTATTTACATTTAAACACAAAAGGAAAAATGCCATATACATCCCTAATGCTGTAAGCAACCCTTCCCCCAATCTTGTACACACAAGTACTTGTGTGCAAGAGGTTCTCAGTCTGTCTCCATGCTTCCTCCCTTCTCACTGATCCCTAGAAGGGAGATAACAAAAGGTAATTAATAAGCACAGAATGGGAAAAATAGGTCCTAATAGTCCCTGGGAGATTGGGAGTGAAGGGGAGGAGGGAAGAAGTCACTGGAAACTAGAAGTAAGCACATGAAAAGGTGATAGGGCCATAACTTTAAAAATGTTTTTCATTTTGTTTCTTAAAATCTTAGTATGCTATAGAATGCAATGCTAAACTCCCAGGGTACAGCAGCCCTGACTCCTACGCTCTACAGTAAGCTGCCATAACAGCCCTTTGGTTTCTCTGGCAAAACAAAACAAACAAACAAAAAAATAGCCCTCCTAAGCCCCAAAGGCAACTGAGAAAACCTATCAACTTCCAAAAGAACTTCAACAGTGGATTTAGGGACCACTGAGATGACTGCTTCTTCCTTCATTGCCCAGGCCGTGTTGCCAGGCACATGGAAACAGGTAGATGGGGGAGGGGGAGGCACACACTATTATCATTTTCTTTTTTGTCTTTTCCTTTAAATAAAGGGGAGGGGGAAGTTGACAAGAGGGGTGTGGAGAAAATCCCCAAACAGCATGTGAACTCTAGAGGCAGGTGCTGAGCAGAGTCCCAAAGAAATGAGAAAGGTGAGAGGGTCAGGGCAGTGCCTGTAGCGTCCAGTTTCTTCGCAGTTTCTGCCGGCCCAGTTCATAGTTTTTCTCATCCACGTTTACCAGCAGCTTGATAGTCTCATGACCCACGGCCTGTTTAATCGAGTCTGTGATGAAGACGCCTTTGAGCGCCTCTAGGAGGGAACCATTGATGTAGTAGCGCCAGAAGGCATCCAGATAGGTGACCTCCGAGAATTTGATGTCACAGATGATGGAACCCAGGTCTCGGGATTTGAGGATGGTGTTGGCCTGGCTGAACCGCTCAAACTGGCGTTCAAGTGGGTCCTGCTTGTTCGAGAAGACGTTGCTCTGCAGAGCCGTCTCATGCTGGCAGTACTCGGCCCTCACCCTAAGCCTGATGTCACAGGTCTGTTTGTTCTTGGGGTCCGCGGTCACTGATTTTCGGCGTTTACGCTGACTCACAAGTGGGGCTCTCCCTCGAGCTGGCCGTTTGCTGCACATCCGTGGGTAAAAAGCTGGGCAATGCGTTGTAGAATAGAGGGGAAGCACTGATTTAGGAGTTTGGGGAGGTCTCCGCTTTTTTTTGCGGGGGGGCGTCACTTATTGGATTGACTGTCCTCCAGCTATTTCTCTATAAGCTCTGGGCACACTGCCTCCCTCCACTCGAGTGTGACGTAGGGCATCAGGTGCGCGTGGCAGCTGCAGCACCTGGCCAAGGTTACTTTCATCACACCAGCCCTAGAGCTCCAGAGCCAACAGGAAATCACTGTCCACTTCGGCAGAGGCCATGCTCATGGTCATCAATTACATCAACAAAAGGAAGGAGCCGGCACTCCCGTCTGGGAGTGGGTGCCCACAACGGCAAACATGCGGCACAGTGCGTAGAGCCCACGCTCCTGCTCTTTGTTCCTGTGGCCATGCCTGGCTGGCCCGCTGCTTTGATTAGTCCTTCGTGCCAAGGGCTCAGGGACACACTGCCTTCCAGAAGTCTTGCTCACTTTTACACTATCCACTGTGATTCAGAGAGACCGTGTTGGATCCACCACCTTCCCTCTCCTGGCCCACCTCGAAGAGCAGCAGCATCCTCAGCTTGAGACTAAAAAAGCTATGTGTAAAGTGCTTAGTAAGATGTCTGGCACATAGTAGGTGCTTAATAAGTGCTGTTTTTTTCCCTTTCCTTTTTTTTTCCTACTCCTTTTCTTTTTTTCTTTCCATGTAATCCTTTTGTGGGCAGCTAGGTGGCACAGTGGATAGAGCGCTAGGCTCAGATTCAGGAAGATTCGTGTAGGCCAAATCCCCCTCAAACACTTACCAGCTATGTGACCTTGGGGAAGTCACTTAACCCTATTTGCTTCAGTTTCCTCATCTGTAAAATGGTGACACACTGGAAAAGGAGTGGCAAACCACTCTAGTACTCAAGAACACAGGATAACAAAAGAGTCCAAAATGACTGAACAATGCTTTTGTAGATGATTTTTTAGTTCTATTTTCCCTGCATTGACGTCTTCCCAGGGCTTTTCTGAATCATCCTTCAACTCAGTTGTATTTCATTGCATTTATGTACAGTTCATTTAACGCTGTACTTAAAATGTAGCTTTCTAGAGACAGTCATTTCCTTTCACCTAAAGTTCAGCAAACACTTCTGAGTGAAATCCCTTATCATCTGCCCTGTGCATGTTCCTTCTGACTCTACATTTTTACTTCCCAGTGTTTTCAGTGAGAAGCAGCCTGGTGTAAAGAAATGAAGGAAGGGCATGGAGCCAGGAAGACCAGGGTTCAGGTTCTTTCTCTAAGACACACTAACTGAATGACCACAGGCAAGTCACTGAAGCTTCTTAGTGCACCAAGCAAATCATTGAGATTATAAATTGCAGAGGAGTAGCCAATTTGCTTATGTGGAGAGAAAGTCTCTAGACCAAGAGTTCCCTTTACTGATGAAATCATGCCTGCCCCCCCCAAAAAACCCTAAACTTACTCCCTATAATCTAGCTTTTAGCAAATCCCCTTAACTTTAAAGATTCTGGAACGTTAGAAAAAATATTGTGAATATATATATATATATATATATATATGTATGTATGTATGTATATGTATATGTATATTATATATATAGATATAGACATAGATGTATCTATATACATATATCACCAACAATACTCTCAAATTCTGTTCATTCAAAGATGAAAGCCTCATTGGGAAGCTTTTCTTATAGTTGAACTCTATAGATATTAAGGCATTTTTATTTTAATAACCAATGTTGAAAATTAATTTTTAGTAGAGCAATCTATACCAATCTAAATTTCTTCTGAATATAGTCTACTAGAAAAAAAACTTTTTAAAAATCAGTAACCTGAATGTACAATATAGGAGAACTTGCTAACATAGCCATTCTTTACATAACAAAATTTTCTACAAATAGTGAATGACATTGTTATTTGGTAAAGGATAACCTGAAGGAGTCGTAGAAAAAAAGTTTCCGTGTTATACTGTCTAGACTACAGCCAGAAACTTGAGATAATGATATTGAAGGAAATATGTCAGAATATCCTGACTGCTTTGTACTTGTTGAACTGTGATGATTGAACAATCATTTTAAGCAATATGGCTGCCATTGAACTGTATTCTTTTAACAGTACGTGATTTCATAAAAATTGGATTGAAAATTCCCTAGTGCCTTAATCTTGGACTGAAATGGCTTCAGCCTGGAGTCTTCTGTTTTGAAGTTGTAATCTCCAATTATGGTAAGTGGCTCTAGAACTAGGTGTCTCTCTTGAGAGTTGTGGTAGTTTTTTTTTCTCCCTGACAACTGAATTTGAGAACTTTTGTTAAACCTATGGACACTTTTCAAACACAACAGTTCAGTCAGCCAGGATATTTAGTGATCAACTTGTTTTTCTTCTTTATATATTCATGCGTAATTTTAGGTTACTGTAATGCATATGGCACCTGTCCATGGAGACATTCTACTAACTTCCCTTCCTCAGCTTTCACTTAGATTCATCAATTCAAAGGAGACAGAAATGTAATCTTTTATGAAATTAGGGATAAGAATGTAAAATCACATATATTACCAATGGCTTAGTACAGAGTGCTCAGTAATACCACTTTATCTTTTTCTTTCAATATCTGGCTATAATACAGTGTCAAATTCTCTATATATATCATTTGTAATATAAAGTCATTGATGAATGTGACCAATTGTAAATGCTATCCACATCCAGAGAAAGAACTTTGGAGTCTAAATGCAGATGGAAGCATACTATTTGCTTTCCTTTTCTTTTGCTGTTTTGTTTTGTTTCTTCTTTCTCATGGTTCCTCCCATTAGTTCTAATTCTTCCTTATATCATGACTAATGTGAAAATATGTTTAATATGAATGTATAAGTACAGCCTGTATCAGATTGCACACCATTTTGGGGAGGAGGTAGGAGAAGGTGAGGGAGAAAATTCAAAACTCAAAATCTTAGGAAGTTAATGTTGAAAACTAAAAATAAATTAATTATAAAAAACAACAATAGCAACATGTGGAAATTAACTTGGTGAAGGTGGACCTTTTTATATACTTCTGACTAGAATTGATTAATTTCATGGTGCAGAGTGGTAGGCATGGATAAAGTGATACTTGGGTTAAAATTTTGTCTCTTATAAAATTAATTTACTAGCTGTGGGATCCTTGGTAAGACACTTATTTTTTGTGTGTCTGGAAACTTCCTAGGTCTATCTACTAAGACTTAGAGGTTGTGATTTCATGCTGGTGGAGGAAATTCCCACACTAGGAGTTCCCTAATCTGAAAAATTACATACCTTTCCTGTATTTTCATTGGGGTCAATTATGTTACTTTAGACATATGCTATAACTTCCTGATCCAGGAATTTTTTTGGTAGGGGAGATTATATTCAGGATATTCATAAGACTCACTCTCCCGAACAACATGGCACCAACCAAGCACAGATTGAACACTGGTCACAACCCACAGTTGTCTACCAACCTAATTACTTTCCCTCAGCAAAATACTGTGTCTTGCTCATGCTGTTTCCATCGTAGCAAACAAAATCTCGTGCTGAGAAAATGACTTTTATGTGGAAACCATTAAAACAATTGGAGGTGAAACTGCAGGCAATTTTGCTCTTAATAATAAAGCCAGCAAGGGGAAAAAAGGTGTTTGCATAGTTGGGTTCACCATAAAAAGTTATACTAAAATATGGCCAAAGATACTGTCTTATATTCTGATGTCTCAGTTTTAGTATCACTTGAATTTCTGATTTTGAATTGGGAGAATAGACACACAGAGACATATACAGCCTTATTTCCATAATAAGCTGGATTCAAGGAACATTCAGACTCCTAAAAATTATAGAAATGAACATGGAACTCCTAGTCCCTGGAAGAGAAAGAGATGAATGAAATTCCATGCTCAGATAAAAATTTCCCATGTTTTTGTGTCTCCCTCTGCCTCATTTCTCATAAATCTATTCTTAGTTTTCACTGCAACTTTCAGTCTTTCCACTAAGACCTATCAGTTCCTCATCTTTGCTCACCTCACTTTTTCACCTGCATGGGCTGGACCCCATAGTCAACTAGTCTTACAAGACACGTTCTTTCAACCTTGATTAATTTGCCTTCTTGTTCTTTGCCATTCACTCACAGTACTGAAACTTAAGTCACATGTATTATTAGTCATCAAGTCGTAATACTGAGCTGGTCAATGTTCAGAGGACGTCACAAAACTGTGATGACTGGGTGCACTACAGATCTGTATAACTTAACCTCAACTGGGCCCTAATTACTGTATGACAATCATTTTACTCACCTCTAATCTCTATAACATTCTGACCTCTATCACATCCTTGATAGCACCTATTTTAGACCTTCTCTCTCATCAAGTCCCAATCACCAGCTCCTTTAGCAAATGGCTCTGCTTCCTTGTTTAGCAAACAAATGCTATACATTTCAGCTCCTCATCTCTGCTCTACACCTCAAAATCTAGCTATATTTTCACTTGCACTCTCTTCCTTTGCTCCTGTCTGATAGGATGAAGTGTCCTTTCTATTCTCACTAAGCCTAATTGTTCTGTTGTTTCCCTCATACTTTCCCTTCCTATATCCTTAAGAAGCTTGTATCACCAACTATTTTCTTTATCATCAACTTTCCCTGATAAACTGGATGCTACAAACTCAGCTTCCCTGGTCCTAAAAAAGAACAAAAAAAATCTCACTTTCACTGGACCCTGCCATTCCCTCAAGTTATCATTCTATATCTCTTTTCCCATTCTTTGCTAAATTAAAAACAGTAGTCTACACCATCATTTCATCATCACCCATTTAGTCACAAATTCCCCTGCTCTACTGAAACTACTCTCTCAAAGGCTACCAGTAATCTCTTAACTGCTAACTCCAATGGCATATCCTCAGTCCTCATCCTCCTTGACCTTTCTGTATTATTGATCACTTCATTATCCTGAATATGCCAATCTTCACTGGAGTCAATTACCCTTATCTTTTCCTTTTCCTTCAGAATGACTGGCTCCTTCTTAATCTCCTTTGCTAGATATCACTTTTTTTTTTTTTTTGGTAAGGCACTTGGGGTTAAGTGACTTGCCCAGGGTCACGCAACTAATGAGTGTTATGTGTCAGAGGCTGGATTTGAACTCAGGGCCTCCTGACTCCAGGGCCAGTGCTCTAT